AAATAATTTCTCGGCCATCCAGTTTAGTTTGTTCGATAACATCCTCAAAGTATTCTCCTTTTTCTTTCCGTTGTTCTTCATCTTTTGGACGACGAAGTCTTCTCGTTTCTACATTTTTGGCTAGCAGTTTTTCTCAGTTAAGAAACAAAATATCATTTTGATAGAGTTTTCCTTGATTTATATCTGCTAAGGTTAAAACTCTATTTTCAAGAGTATTCTGAAAATATTCTAGGAACTTATTTTTACTTTGCATTGCCAGATTATCACTAAAAGTAATTCAGATAAAAGCTTTATCTTCTTTTCATTGTGGTAAGTAATTGAGTTCGCGAACAAAAAATGAAGTCGTGAAAGTTTTGCCACTTCCGGTGGGAGACTTAAAGATAATTGGTAGTTGTCTTTCTTGACGTTTTCATAAATTGACAAAAATCTCTTTCAGTTTTTCGATTGCTTCTTCTTGAAATTTTAAGATATTGAGCGTATTCATGTTAAATTAGGTTGTGTATTTGTCGATATATCTCGAGAATTGGTTGCGGGATTGCTTTTAAACTTATATTTTCTTTGATTTGAAAATCAAATAGTTCAATTTTTTCTTGTCAACTAAAAACATAAACCACAACTTTTTTATTAAATGATATTGCCCTTTCAACAAAATCCTTAAGTCGATCCTGTTCTTCACGGAAATAAACTGCCGTTATCTGATTTTTATTTTCAAAAATTTGTCAGTAATCGTTCTTTTCAGTTTTTTCTAAAGTGTTCTCGGCAATAGAAAGCAATTCTCCTGCATGATGAGCAAGTTGCACCTTATCTTTGTCATTAGCGTTAAAAATATTGTTTTCACCAACGAAAGCGATTTTATAGTACTTAAAAGAATTACCCAATCCTTTGTATGCTTTATATCCTTTCGTAAGCCTTTCCATTCTAGGAAGACATACATCTGTCATTATTTTATTCTCATCATTTGTAACAAGAATAACTTGGCGAGAACCTCCATCTTCTTCGTTTAATTCTAAGACAGCCTGTCCTGTTGTTCCTGAACCCGCAAAGAAATCTAGCACTACTGATTTTTTATTAAGGATTGTATTCAACAAAATTTTTATAAGCCCGACTGGTTTAGGATAATCAAAGAGTGTATCCATTCCTAACTCTGCGAGGTCGTTTTTACCAACTTCAGACAAGAAACTTTGTAAAATCGTATACATAACTTGTCGCATGCTAGCAACTTCTTCAAGACGGCAAATGTAGTGCATACCATTTTTTGCTTTATTAAGAATATACTCGCCCGAAACTAGTTTTTCGTCTACCTCTTTTTTTAATTTTTCGCCCCTAAACTTTAATAGGTTTTCGTACTCGCAACGTCTTTCAATTCCTTTTTCATACTTGCCAAATACACGCCTAATAATATCGTCATTCACAAAATATAATTTTCCATCTTTCGAAACATACTTATTTTTATTTCCTTGTTTCCATTTCTTAACATGCCCAATGCTCCTGTTACTCTTTTGGGTAAGTGTAAGTTCATCGCTTCTTGAATAGCAAAGAATATACTCATGTCCTCTAACGATCTTCTTTGAGTTGCCGCCACCTGATTTTCTTTGCCAAATCAAAGTTCCGACATATCCTTTATTAGTTGTATCACTAAAAATTTCATCACAAAGCAACTTTAATTGAGCAAACTCGTTGTCATCTATGCTGATAAAAATAACTCCTTCAAGGGTTAGAAGGTCTTTGGCAAGTTCAAGACGCTTTCGCATAAATGAAAGCCAATAACTATGCCGGAATGGGTGGTCTTTCGGTACTTCAGTGCCGTCAGGATATTCGGATAAAATTCTTTTGTCTTTATAACGAAAACCGTCTTGTCCCGTGTTATAGGGTGGGTCGATATAAATTACATCAACCTTGCCTTTGTGGGTATAGTTCAAACAAGTAAGTGCGTGATAATTGTCGCCTTCAATAAGAATATGGGTAGGTTTTTTATCTTTAGTAGTAATTGATTTTTCGGTAACTTCTTCAAGAATAGGCAGTTTATTTTCTATGTCTTTTTCAAAACCTTCCGGAACATCAATTCAAACCAAACCATAGCGCTTGTTTTTGACAATTTTCTTTCACTTTTCAATTTCTTTTTGAAGTTCAAGAATTTTGCGATCTTTTTGGCAAAAATTCTCTCTCTCGATTTCCTTACTGTTGTTCGTTACAGAGTTTTTATTCATGGTTAGATTTTTTTTTGCTTTACTATAATTTTCTACCGTTAATTGCTTATATTTCTTTAAACTTTGTTTAGCAAGTTAGCAAATAGTCTATCCTTTTTTTTCAATTGATTCTAATACCTCTACTTAAATATTCTTCAAACAGCTATAAAGAGCAATTTTTTTCATAAGGAGATTTAGGACTTTTTAAAATAGTTGCTATCTTTTTAAGGATTGGATATTTGTCTGCTTCTTCTCGCCTTGATAAATCTTTATTGCAAGCAGAACATTTTTTATTTACCATAACAGTTTAACATTTATAATCTAATTTTACTGTCTTTTAAAAAACAAAATTTTACTACTTTATATAAAAAATATATAAAGCTCATTATGGATGCCCTACTATTGATTAAAAACCAAAGACAAGATTTTGCAAAAGAGAGTAGCCAAATCATAAAAACAATTTATTAGAAACTGTAAAAAATCTCTAGCATTGTGATATTATTAAAAGATGCACTGAGAAAACACCTGCTCCTTTTTTCAGGTTGTTGACACTTTAACTAGTTCGGGAAAGACAAAGGTTTTAGCCAAAGCTGTCGTCGAAATAAGAAAATTAGGCAAGGTTGACCGTAAATTATTGAATATTGGTTTCAAATTATTGGTTCGTTTTGTTTTTCGCGGAAAATGGGATAAAAACAATAGAAAAATTTGCCAGAAATTATTGAATTAATGTTAGAAATTTAGAAAGAAATGAATAATAAAAAAAGTAATTTAGAAAATTTAACTATAACTAAGAAAAATAATAGCTGACCCGCCGCTCTTTATGTGGAAGGTCAAGACCAATTTCGCGGCTGATTTAATTCTTCCTTAATTACTTCGGTTATTATTACTGGTCAAGCCCCTTATCAACAAGTTCTCTCTCATGGA